GTAAGAAAATAGTCCAAAGAATCAAAATAAATATGTTTTGCTTTGAATTACAAAATTCACTTGAAATGTTATAATTTATTTCTTATGAACACAATTATTATAAACTTCTTGGAACTACGTACATGATTTTGGTTACTTTTTTTACAACATTTTTGTTGAGAAAAGTCTAAATATATAAGTATAAATGTATTTTGTTTACAGTATTATAAAATGTTCTGAAAATGGAAAGCTTTTTCTCATTAGTTTAGCACCATAACTCTTTGGTCAGCCAAACCTGACCTCACCTGACAGACTGATAGTTTTATCCCCTTAATATTCTTTTGAGGCAGAAATATTAATGTCTTTAATTCTAGGTATTGCCTCAAACCATACGTGAGTCATTATTTTATCATTTGAAAATTCCGGATTCTGAAATATCAAGGCATAAGAGCTCCACACAAGGGATTTTATACCTACAGTTTTTATAAATTTCAAAGGAATGAGGATAGAAATCACAGTGGGTGTTGGTATTGATTACTGCTGGGAAAGCTTGAACAAGGTGATTTTTCCTGCCAGTCAGCATTCTTCCAGCATTTAGAGCTAAGAAACTTGACATAGTTTTTGTGTGGGCCATTTATGGTCTATGTTTAGTAGAGTTTAATATACAGAAATGAGGTGCTCACAAAAACTAACAGTGTGGCATTAGCATTAACATGGCCTGTGGGTGAGGCATTTTGTCATTTACTTCTAGGGGTAGCAGTTGCAAAGAAAAAAAGAGGTTGGTTATTCCTTGATGCTTTTAGATGAGCCTTTGTAGCATAGCTGGTTGAGCACTCATTTGCTAACTTAAAGGTCATCAGTTTGATCCCATCAGCTATTTCATGAGAAAAATGCTGTAAGCCAATAAAAACGGAGCCCAGCCCTAAAACAGTAATGTGGGCAGAGACTCTCCTATGCAGTCATTTTACAATTTGCCTCTTTTTAGGTTTCCATTTTTAAAACAGAGAGATGGGGCCTTGTGAAGAATAGTTCAGGAATTGGGGCTAGAAAAGATCTTGGTTGTAGTACTAGCACATGGAACTAGAAACATAGAGAGCCCAAATTTCGAGGTAACTTTGCTGCCAAAGAAACAGGAGTTTTTCTCTTGAATCAGTAACACATGAATTATTTGTATAATTTGCATGGATGGAACACTCTCCAGCTTTAACTTCCTGTGTATTCACTAAGAAAAATTCCCAGAGAGGCACTGAGGGCAGTGAGCAAGGAAGTCCCTGCCAGAAATCTGAATCTGGATCTAATCTGGAACTTCTCCACTGTTAGGGGACAGAATATTCCCAAGGCTGCTCAAGGAATATTACAATTTCTTTGAATCATTGTTTCATTTTCATCCATTTTCCTAATTGAACATTGTTATATGCTTATCTCGTGTGTGTGTGTGTGTGTGTGTGTGTGTGTGTGTGTGTGTGATGGGCCATCAAGTCGCCTGTGACTCAATAGCAACCCTATGTACAACAGGCCTAAACCCTTCTCTATCCTGTGTCAATCTCACTGTCTGACACACCTACCCTCATTACTCCAGTCACTGAATCAGTCCATCTCATAGAGGGTCTTCCTTTCCTGCTCTGTCCCTCCACCCTCCCCCAAAGTATGTCAGACAAAGCCTCGGAATAGCAACCCTATATACTGTAGCTCTGAACCCTTCTCTATCCTGAGTCAATCGATCAGCAGTAATGTCTTGCATGTGACGTTAATGATATTGATAGTTTCCACATTCGGTTCAATCATTTTTCTTGGGAATAGGAACAAATATGTACCTCTTCCAATCTGTTGGCCAGACAGATGTCCTCCAAATTTCCTGGCATAGACTGGTGAGCGCCATCAGGTCTGCATCTGTTAGTTGAAACAATCAACTGGTATCCCATCAATTCCTGGGGCCTTATTTTTTGCCAGTGCCTTTAAAGTAGCTTCAACTTCCTCATTTTCATTGGCTCCTGCTCATATGGTACTTCCTGACATTTTTCCATGTTTATCAGTTCTTTTTGGTACAGTCACCTGTGTATTCCCTCTATCTTTTGATGCTTCCTGAGTCATTTAACATACTATCCATAGCATATTTTAATAGTGCAACTTGAGGCTCAAATTTCTTTTTTAATTCTTTCACCTTCAGAAATGCAGAACGTGTTTTGCCCTTTTGATTCTCCAGTTCCAGCTCTCTGAACCTGCCTTATAATGGTTTTTGAAATGGATCAACCAGAGTGGTTTTGTGTGTGGAATGTTGTGTACAAATACTTAGCAAGAGGCTACCTGAAGCTTTGAGGCTGCTCGTTAGGTGCCATCTAGTCGATGACAACTCAGTGACCTTGTGAACCATCCTCACCCTCTCTGACCCACCACCCTTTTCAAAGCATGATGCTCCTTTGCAAGGAATAGCCTCTCAGTTGCCATTAAATCCTTTTATCTTCTTCTGTAGCTTTCAAGTTTTAAGTGGAATATTGCTGTCCAGCGTAAGCATTACCTTACTCTTCCTTTCCCCTAAATCTAATTGAGTCCCCTCACTTGCAAAGACTAGATGGACCATTTCCAAGTCTAGCTCCAAAAGCCTCACACATGAGCACTTCCATTTATGATTTTGTTATTGACTATAACTCAAGGAGACCCAAGTGGGCAGAGGACCACAATTTTCAAGGTGTGACCTTTCAAAAGCAGATCATAAGGCCTTACTTGTGACTCTTGGTGTGTCTGAACTGCTAACCTTTGTTTAGAAGCTGCAACTCCTGCATATTAGAATGGCAATGACTTGTGATCTGACGGCCATGTATTGAAAATGGCAGAACCACCCTCATCCCAAATCCCAGTGGATGACTGCTTGGAAGAAAAACTATCAGTTGACAGTGCTCACCTTGGAACCATCAGTTGGAAGAGAAGCCAAAAGATACTATTTATCACTGTATTGTTACAGCAGCTTGTTGGATAATAAGTCAATTCTGACTCAGAGTGACCTTACAGGGAAAGCAGAACTGCCCCATAGAATTTTTGGGCTATCTTTCTGGGAACAGATTGCCAGGCCTTTTCCTCTCAGGTGTCACTAGAATGTCTGAACTGCCACCTTTGAGTTGGCATATAGTGTACTGGACCATTGAGCCACCATGACTCTTTACAGTAGTCTAGCATAATCCAAAAGAGCTAATCTTTTTTCCTGGAGATCCTAGATTCCTTTGTTTTAAAATTAATTTGCTTTATTCAATAATATTTGGGGTTTTAAAAAACACTATTTGTTTTCCTAAAAATTGTATCTTCCCAAACAGAGCAGTAAGATTATTTAAGAAAGGTTATTTATCTTGTGGCACACACAATCCTGGGCATACTACTGTCTATTCCTATTACCTGTTGTGTACTGGACCCTCCAGTGGGTTTTTAGAGGCAGTTAACCATACAAGAGGAGACTGCCCATACTTCTCCCGCAGAGCAGCCGGTGGCCTTGAACTGCATGCCTTTGGGATTGCAGCACAGCTTCTTGCCACTAGGTCACCAGAGCCCCTTAGCCCTGTTACCTAGTCAGTCATATCAATACACAGACACGTACACATAGAATCTTTGAAACAGCTTTTTATTAAACAGCAAAACAGAACTGCAACATATTTAAATATTTTAAAATTAAGTCACAAATGAGATGAAAATGCTTTCATTTCAGTATTCTATTATGTATTTATACAAATAAAGTTATTTAACAAATTATACTTACACCAAGACACTCATAAGATTATTCCATGATTAAAAGTTGCCCAAATCTAATAACCAAAAACTGTATTAGTGGCTCTCTCTTCCTATTATAATTTACATTTTAACAATACTTCTGATAGATTCCTTTTTAAAATGGAACCTACAACTGAATTTTTAAACATGTTTAGTAAACGGAGGCCTAAAATTCTAAACCAAAGCAGTAAACTTAGAAAAAA